TTTTGGCATCCCTTAGATATAATATCATATCATCTACAAAAAGGTATAATTTGATCTCTTCTTTTCCAATTATTACTCCTTTAATTTCCTTCTCTTGTCTTATTGCTCTTGCAAGAGTTTCAAGTACTATGTTAAAGAGAAGTGGGATAGTGGACAGCCTTGTCTGGTTCCTGATTTCAATGGAATGCTTCCAGATTTTCTCCATTTAGAATGATGTTGGCTGTGGGTTTGTTATATATATAAAACCCTGGCTATCCTGGAATTTGCTATGTAGACTAGGCTGGCCTTGAACTTATGGAGAACCTCCTTTGTTTCCCAAGTGCTGAGATTGGTGTACCCTGCCCTGCCCCACCCCACCTTGTTGGGTTTTTTTTTTTTTTTTTTTTTTGCCTTTTTGAGAAAGGGTCTCCCTGTAGCCCCAGCTGTCCTGGAACTCACTGTGTAGACCAGGCTGGCCTTGAACTCACAGAGATCCGCCTGCCTCTGCCTTCCGAGTGCTGGGATTAAAGGTGTGTGCCACCACGCCTGGCTTATTTTTTGTTTTTCTTTTTAAATTTGGAGACAGTCTCTCTCTTTTTTTTTCTAATTCATTATTTTTATTTTATGTATATGAGTATTTATATTGTATGAGTGTATGTACATTGTATGTAAGTGCAACCATGTCATGCAATGCCCATGGAGGTCAGAAGGCGGCGTTGGATTTCCCTGGAACTGGAGTTACACACAGTTGTTAACCGCCATGTGGGTGCTGGGATTTGAACCCAGGTCCTCCAGTGCTCTTAACTGCTGAGCCATCTTTCCAGCCCCAAAATAGTCTCTTACAGTGGGGTTGGCCTTAAACTTGCTGTGTAGTTGGTGTTCTTGAACTCTTTATCCTCCTGCCTCTACTTCCCAAGTGCTGAGATTGAAGCCACCAGGCTTGGACTACCATAGCCTTTTTATACACTTGATGTAGGATAAGTTTCCTTTCTTTTGATACAGTTTTCAAAATTTAATTGGCTGCTATGCTATTGTATGTTGATTCTTCTGTGAACTGTGAGCCTTTTCATCAAGAACACTCCAATTTATTCCAATTTGTGCATTTAAAAATATTTTATTATTAAGGCCCGGCATGGTGGCACACGCCTTTAATCCCAGCACTTGGGAGGCAGAGGCAGGCAGATCTTTGTGAGTTCGAGGCCACCCTGGTCTACATAGTGAGCTCCAGGACAGCTGGGGCTACAGGGAGACCCTGTCTCAAAAAGACAAAAAAAATATATTATTATTTATTGCTTTATGTGTATGAGTATATTGGCTGCATGTATGTATATTGCCTGCATGTATATAAGTGCATCTGTGTCTTGTAGTGCCAAAGTGGTCAGAAGAGGGCATTGAATCCCCTGGAACTGAAGTTACAGATGGTTGTTAGCTGCCATGTGGGTGCTGGGATTCAAACCCAGGTCCTCTGCAAGAGCAGCCAGTGTTTTTAACTGCTGAACCATCTCTCCAGCCCCAAATTGTGTGTTATGTATTAAGGAAAATTGAGTCTTACAAGAGAAGGATTTCTAATCTATTCATTTAAAAAGAAGTTTTTAAAAGCTTGTATGGTGGCTGGGCATGGTCGTGGATGCCTTTAATCCCAGCACTTGAGAAGCAGAGGCAGGTGGGTCTTTTTGAGTTTGAGGACAGCCTGGTCTACATAGTGAGTTCCAAGACAGCTGGGGCTACAAGGAGACCCTGTCTCAAAAAGACAAACAAAGCAAAACAAAACAAAAAAACTTGTATGCACACTAACATACAAAACCTTCTCCCTGCTCATTGGAGAAGGCTCTGAACATTCATACTTTTTGCTGATCCCATATGTAGTCTGTGAGCAAAGGACTGTAGAAATATCCAGCCCAGCACAGAGATTCAGGGGTGGGAGGGCAAGGCAGGGCACTGGTGAGGACCAGTAGAACTCAGATCAGAACTTTCTGGCCCAAAACCGAGATTATGAGGTAGACTCAGAAACAGCATTAGAAAATTAATACATTAGGGATATGTGGGAAGCGAGCACAGCCGAGCCAGCCAAAGATGGAGCCCTGGCTGGCTGCCAAACCTCGTGCTGTTTACTCCAACTCTTGGCTGATTGCCAAGGCTCGTGAATCCCGCTTGTTTACCCCAACTCTGAAGTATGGTGAGCCCCAAAACAGGTGCTGCCAGCCTGATGATCTTGCTACGTGCCTATGAGCTACACTCTGCCTGGCCGCTGCACGTGTGTGAGCCCTGATTGGTACCGGCTGGGGGGAGGGCTGTTGGAAATGCTATATAAAGAACTGAGGTGTGTAATAGAAGGACCTACGAACAGCATCATAGTGAGAGAGAATAAAGTGAGAGATATAATAGAACAGAACAGAAGCAGCATCATAGTGTATGAGATAATGAAAGAGAGAGAATAAAGGATGCAAGAGAAACAGAAGCTTGAACCTCACCTTGGTGTCTGTGTCGTTTTTCCTCGGCTCTGCTGGACAGAGTCGTGGCTTACGACAAATGGTGGCCCGTACGGGGACCCTGATGCTCATGACAAATGGTGGCCCGTACGGGGACCCTGATGCTCGCGACAGGGATACATATATGGATCTGTTTGAAAAGAACTGGCATCTTTGAGTAATAAATCTGTTACTCAAGTCTTCTTTATCCTGTAGCACATCTCTTGTCAAATTTATCTCTAAATCCATGCTTTGTTTTGCTCTCTAGCAAACTGTTTGACTTTTTCAGCTGTTAGTATGTAGACTAGGGTTGGCTTTACTGTGATGCCTGTGTGTTCTGTGACTTCTATAACCGACCTGAATTCTGCTCCCAACTGTAGATTATGTAGGATTTTCAGTGTAAAATACAGTACCTGTGAATACAGTTTTGCTTATTAATCTGAATGTTTTTGTTGTTCTTTTCTATGTTAGCCTGACCTTCCAACATGCCCTTGACAACATGTCCTTGAACAAAAGTGGTGCAAGCTGACACCTGGTCTTTTTTTCCACCTTACATGGATAGCTTTTAGTTTCTCACATTGAGTCATATTGATTGATTTTTCTTTTTCCTATCATTGTGATCCTCCTGCCTCTCTCTGCCTCCAGAGTGCTAGGATTATAGGCATGTACCAGTTTGCCTTTTTTTTTAATTGAGCTTTTGTACATTTCATACAACAGTTCTTAATCAAATTTACCTCCCCTGTCCATTCCCCCTTCCCACTGGACCTCCTGGTTTCTTCATTGTCTCACATGGACACCCTTGGCCTTTGTGGGCTTGGATCAGAATGAATCTGGAAGGAAGATTTCTGTTCTTTTTTGTTTGTTTTTGTTTTGTTTTTTGGTCTTTTTGAGACTGGGTCTCCCTATAGCCCCAGCTGGCCTGGAGCTTGCTATGGTAGACCAAGTTGCCTCAAACTCACAGAGATCCTCCTGCCTCTGCCTCCCAAGTGCTCGGATTAGAGGCGTGCACCACCATGCCTGGCTGAATCTTTTTTTTTTTTTTTTCATGTCTTCCTCATTCACAGCACAGACCAGGCACAGTGGCCTGGGCTAGAGTGTACCTGGGACAGGTTTGCTCTGCCTCTTTGTTCTGTGCAGTCAGTGTTAAGAATACAGCCTGTGGTAAGTACCAGGAGGCCTAGGTCTGTATCTTTAACCTCATCTGCTAAGCCATTTTGCCATGTAAGAGAACGCTCACAGATTCTGGGTGTTGGGGAGTGGGCATCTTTGTGACTTTTACTTTTATAAGAGAAAAGAAGTATTTGAGCTCATGGTTTTAGCTTGTTTTCTGATGTCTGTCATCTGAGAACTACAGTTTTGTGTTTTGTATAGGTCTTTGTTTTAGTCAGGGAGGTAAGTGGGTCCCTGTCGTTTTCATCTAGGCCAATGGCGCTCATTGAATTGTGTTTGAATGAAGGTCATGTGTATTTGTCAATGTGTACTAAATGTATGTGTATGTGGGCATATGCATGTGTGTGTATGTGGGTGTATGCATGTGTGTGTTCATGAATGTGTGCTTCATGTGTGTATTTGTGTGTGTGTGTTCATATGTGTATATTTGTGAATATGTGCTGTGTGTATGTATGTGTGTGTGTTCATTAATATGTGTTGCCTGTGTGTATGTTCATGAATATATGCTGTGTGTGTGTGTGTGTGTGTGTGTGTGTGTGTGTATGTGTGCGTAAGGCTCAACACCCACCCTGAGGGGCAGGGTTGCTTTTCAGATGGCAGAGGTGAGCATCTGTAACTTTTCATAGGGAAGAGCTTCCATTTCTGGCTCCCACACCTCATAGGCTCAGCCCAGGCAAGGAACTGAGAGTTTGAGGGTCCACACCAACTGTGCCCACACTTTAAAGTGTGTTGGAATCTGCCTCAGCATTTCCCACACACTGCCTGACAGCTGATGCTATTTCAGTCCTCTGTGGCATGGGATCATTTGCCTTCACACTGGACCAGAAAAGGAACCTGCATGTGTTTATTTCCCATTTCTCTTGTTCTTTTTAGATGCTTTCCAGAAAGAAAATGGCAATACTGTGCTGATGCCGCCATCCTCAAGCCAGAGCTCTGCCTGCCTTCCGTCCTCCCTGGTTCCTGGGAGCTTCTGGTATGTTAATTTTATCTTTTTTCCTGCTCTCAGTTTCCTTTTCTTTTCCCTTTCCTTTCTTCCTTCCTTCCTTTCTTTTTTTAATTAAAAAAAAATTTTTTTTAAAGACAGGGTCTCCCTGTAGCTCCAAGCTGGCTTGGCATTCACTGTGTAGACCAGGCTGACCTTGATCTCAAAGAGATCTGCCTGCCTCTACTTCCCAAGGGCTGGGATTAAAGGCATGTGCCACCACGCCTGCCTTATTATTTCTATTTTATGTGTGTACGTGTATTCCACGTGCAGTGCCCACGGAGGTCAGAAGAGGCTGTCGGATGCCCTGGGACTGGAGTTAAGGATAGTTGTTAGCTACCATGTGGGTGCAGGGATTCAAACCCAGGTCTTCTGGAAGAACAGCCAGTGTTCTTAACCGCTGAGCCATCTCTCCAGCCCCTAATTTTTATTTTAAATGATGTGTGCGTGCACACGTTGAGTGAGGAAGCCAGAGATGTTATACCCCCAGGAGCTAGAGGTGGTTATGAGCTGCCCAATTGGTTGCTGAGAATTGAACTCGGGTCCTCTGTAAGAGCAGCAAGTGTTCTTAACTACTGAGCCATTTTTCCAGCCCTCTTTCTTTTTTATTTTTATTTTTATTGAAAGAAAAACTTTTTTTTTTTTTTTTGACACAGGGTCTCCTTGTAGTCTTAGCTGGCCTGGAACTTGCTGTAGACCAGACTGGTTTTGATCTCACAGAGATCTACCTGCATGTGCCACAACACCTGGCCCTCCTTCTTTTTAAAAAAGATTTATTTTATTTTTATTTATGCACGTGCATGTGTATGTCTGTGTATATGCATATACCTGTGTGAGGTGCCTATGTGAGGTACAGGTGGAGGCTGGAAGAAGGTGTTAAATTCTTTGGCGTTAGAGTTACAGGCAGTTGAAAGCAGCCCAATGTAAGTACTGGGACCCAAACTCCGGTTCTTGGAAAGAGCATCAAGTGTCCTTAACCATTGAGCTATCTCTTCAGCCCCTCAGTTTATTTTCTTCTTAAATTTTTTTCCTTTTAAAGATTTATTTTTATGTGTATTAGTGTTTTGCTTGCATCTGTATAAGTGCATGCAAACCCAGGGAGGCCAGAAGAGAGCATCAGATCCTTTGGAACTGGAATTGTAGATGGTTATTAGCCACCATGACGCAGAGGCAGAGGCAGGCAGATCTCTCTGAGATTGAGGCCAACCTGGTTTACATAGCAAATTCCAGGTCAGCTGGAGCTACAGAGAGCTCTTGTTTCAAAAAACAAAAAAGGGGGCTGGAGAGATGGCTCAGCAGTTAAAAGCACTGGCTGCTCTTTATTTTTTTTTTATATTTTTAAATTTTTAAATTATTTTTATTTTATGTGTGAGAGTGTTTTGCCTGAGTGTATGTAAGTGCACCTGTGTTGTGCAGTGCCTATGGAGGTCAGAAGGAGTCAGATTCCCTGGAACTGGAGTTATGGATGGTTTTGGCCACCATATGGGTGCTGTGAATCGGACCTGGTCCTCTGCAAGAACAACTATTGTTCTTAACCTCTGAGCCATCTCTCCAGCCCCCGCCCCAAATTTTAAATTTTTTAAAAAATTTTAATCTCAGGGGAAGGCAGACGCAGACAGATCTGTATGAGTTTGAGTCCAGCTAGTGCTACATAGTGAGACCCTCTCATAAAAAGTATTTTATTTTAATTACATGTGTATTTTTTTTTTTTTAATTTTACAACAAGTTTGAGCTCTAGAGAAGGCAGTCCTGTCTTAAAGACTTGGATAAGGTTTTCTTTTTCTTTTACTCCAGGAAGATCATTTAAGAACAAACACATGAGGTTTCTAAAATGACAAGAAACAGCGATGCCGTTATCTGTGACATTCCCACAGGAAGTTATTTACAATTCCAGTAGGCTTTTTTGTAATTTTTCGAGTTGTCTAAGCCTCTGCAGACACTTATGTTCAATAAAATGACACTTGCATAGTTTTATTTTTTCAACATGCTCTAGGCCCATCATATGTTCCAATCCAAGGTCCATGATACAAGAGTCAGTGGCATCAATGGCTTGAATCTTGTATTTGTCCAGAGAGCCCACTGGAAGACTGTTAAGAGTCCTTCAGCCACCTCTCCTGGCCATGCTAGCACACTGTGGCCCCACAGCAAAGTAGCCACTCAGATGCTGTCCTGTCAGGGCCAACATCTCTGATTTGTTCATAATCCACTTCATTAAATACTGTATTCAACCATTCCCAGAAGTATCTGGAGTTACATGACCATGGGAGTTTCTTTAAGCTGCACAGCTGCCTCAGTTTTTCCAAGCGCCATCATTTGACAGCATTGCAGGGAACTGCCAAGCATCCCTGAGTCTGCGGTACACCAGCCCCTTTTTTTTCAGTCTTTTTGCGACAGGGTCTCCCTGTAGCCCCAGCTGTCCTGGAACTCACTATGTAGACCAGGCTGGCCTTGAACTCACAGAGATCTGCCTGCCTCTGCCTCCCAAGTGCTGGGACCACAGGCATGCGCCACCACGCCCAGCTACTTACTCTCTTTTTTAGGATTTACTATTTTATTTTATATGTATGTGTTTGTCTGCATGTATGTATGTATGTATGTATGTATGTATGTTTGTTTCACCATGTGTGTGCCTACTGCCTACAGAGGCCAGAAGAGGCTGTTGGATCCCCAGGAACTGCAGTTATCAAGGGTTATAAGCGGGCACATGGATGCTGGGGACCAAATCCTAGTCCTCTAAAAGAACAGCAAGTGTTCTTTAGCTAATGAGCCATTTATTTCTTGAACTAGAATTCCCACTTGCTTTTTAATTCCATTTCCTCTACCTCCCCAGATTGATGTAGTTTCTCACTTTGCCTCTCCCTCAGGTACACAGCCCTGTAAGATGTTCTACTTGGTTGGGGCTGGGCCATGGCATCCTTCATCTCACCTGGAGTAGGTTGGGAAGGAGTGGTGGGTGGGAGGTGATTGAAGGAATGAATGCATGGAGTATTATTGAGACGGAGGGCCTGGCCGTGCTGAGGTTGGGCAGGCAAATGGTTTCCCTGCTTCCAGGTCCTTGGAAAATAGGACTTAAGCGTGAGCATGAGACCATGTAGTGAAGAGATGCAAGGACTTCGGTACTTGAGGGACTTTCTTTGTGGCCATTTGTGCAGATGAGGCTTTGAACACATAATGGATGATGGCTGCGCTGCCTGCTGTGCACCTTAGGTAAAGAGAAAGACACTTTAGGTGGAAGAGCAACCATGCTCACCAGGACTGTAACGATATCAACATATATCAGGCCTGGACACACCACAGGCCAGAGCTCTCCTGATGGGGGCAGCTCAGGGATGGAGGGGAACTAGGAGCTACTGGTGATCATGAAGTTTTCTCCCCTTCCTGGGTGGATCAATCAGCTGTGACAGAGAGCTTCCCTAGGACAAATTCCTTCAAATTGTGTTTTGTATGTAAATAGTAGCTAACTCTGAACTTAGGAATGATGGAAATAACAAAATCCTGTGCTTCTGTTATTCCAGGTGGGGGAGGAAACCGTCCATGTCCTCACTAGGCAGGTGGAAACTGAGACCACAGAAATGACCAGACCCTACGTGAAGAGTGAGTGTGGGAGGCACCAGACAGGTGGGGCAGGGCACCTCCTGCCCATCTGTACTTCAGCTTCAGGGCAGCTGAGGTGCTTATGGGGCCACATTGTACCTGGGTAGAGTCTGGTTAGGTTAGGTATCATCAGACAGGTGTAGCGGTCACCTGCTGGTGCTGAACATGACACTCAGAAACATGCTTTCCAGGAATGACTATTGAGCAGCATTCTTTTTCCAAGTTCCCATTAAAAGGAAAATAAAGTAATTGTCTTAGTCTGCTCAGGCTGCTTTGAGAAAATACTGGGTAATTTATAAAAATCACAGTTTCTCACAGTTGTAGTTTGGAAAGTCAAAGCACAGTAGTGTTTGGTGGTGTCTGGTGCAGGCTGCCCTCCACTTCCTAGAAGGTGGAAGGGTTAAGTGGGCCAAGCCTCTCCTCTTTGGGATCACTGTCCCAACACCTCATCCCTTAAAATCATCACCCTGGGGGTGATGAGTTTTGATGGATACCAATATCCATCTTCCTATAGTAGCACCTATGGAAGCCGAGGGGTGGATTTCCCTGTGCTCAGTTCTCTGTGCTGAGTTGAAGGTCCTAAGGTCACTGGGCCTACCTCCTTTTTTCCCAAGCTCTGATATACATCCACCAACCACTACGTCTCCAATTGAGGCTAACAGTTTCTTGAGGGACAACTGTACTCTGCCTAGTATTCCCTGTTCAAGTTCTCACTCCAAGGGATGAGCCACACCTTGGAGCTCTATAAATGCCATTGTCACTGCTAGGCCCTGAACTTTAGAGATGCTGAGAGGCCTGGAAAGGCATGGGAACATTCATGGTGGAGACAGTATGGTGAAGAAAAGTCAGGGTGCTAGTGAAGCCTAGGACCCAGCAAGGGCAGGGAGTTGGAAGATATTGATGAGAGAGGCAGTCTCCTACATCCTTACTGTCCCTGGAGACCAGATCCATATGTGTGAAGGTGTGGGTGCTTCTGTGAAGCCCACAATTGGGAGAGTAGGTGCTGAGGTTTACATTAGAAGGGCCAGGTGTGGTTTGTTGGGTTGAATTTGGCCTTAGATGTAATCAGAACTCATTCATTGGATCAGCCTGTTTACTTAACTGTTGAATCTTAGACATAGAGAACTGCTAGTAGTCCTACTTCCCGCTCCAGAGAGGAACCCATCCCAGAGGGGAGACAAGTTCTGCCCTGGTACCTGTCTGTCCTGTTGCCATGGCAGGTGCCTCTAAATATCCTCATGGATGGTATGGGTATGGGTATGGCGCCTGGGGAGCAGAGGGTCCAGCCTGGAGGGTCTTGTTAGGGGTGGGTGATATCTCCAGGTGCCTGTCCTGCCTTTACTGAAGAATGCTCTGTTTATCTATTGAGTCCTTGAGTCATATCTGGCCCTGCTAGGCATAGATCTGTGGGATAGGTGCTGTGGTTTTAGTCTCCATTTACTGCTCATTACTGGTGTCTGCACTTTCCTGCCCAGTGCCAGCCTCCTACATGTTGGAGTTGGGTCCAGCCTGTCCTGTGTCTCAGAACCCTAGGGAACCTTCTTGAAGTGTCTGTGTCTGTGTGGATCCTTTGTGGAACACTGGTCTAGGAGGCTAATTGGGGTGAACTGATAGCCTTTCAGAAGCCCAGGCCTTGTAGTCATGGCTGGAGCAGTCTTGGGAGGCTGTGACTTTCTGACGCAGACTAAGCTGAGTGTTCCAGGTCTAAAGCATCTCAGTAATAACCAGTCTGAGCCCTGTGTCACCCAGCCTAGCAGCCTGCGTGCTCAGTGTTCCTGACCCCACAACAGCATGAATTGGAGTAGGAGACAGTCAGGGAATGTGTTACAGATGGAAGGAGGGGCTCTCATGAGAGACAACAGCTGCAGGCCAGTATGTCTGTTGTGCAAGTATACATGCCTGCTTGCCTGAGACATTGGGCTTTTGGTAGGGCTTAGATATGCTATCCCCTGTGCTGAGTTTATGATCCCCAGAAGCTGGCAGATGTCAGCCACAGGGAAGGCTGTACTTGGACCTGAGCACACTGCCTTTTTCCCTGCAGAGCTGTCTTTCACCCTGCTGGATGTCATCACTGACAAGGACTCTGCGGTGCAGGAGCAGGTCTGCAGCGCTCTATGCTCCCTTGGAGAAGCGCAGCCAGGGGAGACACTCCGTGCCTGTGAGGAGTACCTACGGCAGCATGACAAGGTACCTCTCCCCTTGCTGATAGGAGGGTATCGGGGAGTACCTCATCTGTTGAGTTTGAAAAGAGAGAAAAGAATAGGTTGGGCATTAAGTCAGGCTCTTGGCAGAAAGTGCCCAGTACCTTCCCTTAAAGCCAGTGTTTCAGGACAATAGCTTGGTCTCTTCCTTGTGGCTGTCTTGTGAGCTCATGATTCCATTGTGAGGGGACTGGGCTGTTACTTCAGTGGACAGTACTCATGAGCAGAGGCCATTTGCCATCCCCTTTTGCTCACTGACTGGAGCCTGAGCAACTCCCTTGCTTTCAGAGGCATAGGTTGTTTCTGGGTATTAGCAGCTGAGTGCCCAGTGGGTCTTGGTAAGGGCTCTGAGAGCCCAGGCCCTGTCTTGGCCTGGGGTGCTGCTCTATGTGGAGGCCGCTAGCCCACTTGCCATCCCCTTCCAGAGAGCTCCCAGGAGGACATGGGCCTCTGCTGTTCCAGAATGTCCCAGCCTTTGGGCAAGCATGGCTGCCATAGGAGAACAGAGAGTTAGGATTCTCATTGGTGCTTCAGGATGTCAAATTATTGGCCTCATGCTGCTCTTACCTTGTGGGCTTTCTTTTGTTTTGCTTTGAAATAGGGTCTAGCTAGATGGTTCAACCTGCCCTTGAACTTGTGACCCTTGTATTCCAGCCTCTGGAGTACTAGGATTACATGCATGTGCTACCTGACCTGGATCAGGATGTCAAATTATTGGCCTCATGCTGCTCTTACCTTGTGGGCTTTCTTTTGTTTTGCTTTGAAATAGGGTCTAGCTAGATGGTTCAACCTGTCCTTGAACTTGTGACCCTTGTATTCCAGCCTCTGGAGTACTAGGATTACATGCATGTGCTACCTGACCTGGATCTTTTTAATTTAATCTATCATTACTATTGTCTGTATATGTGAATGATGTATATGTTTGAGTGCTTGTGCCATGGCACGCATACGGAGGTCATTGAAAAAGTTTGTGGAGTTGGTTCTTCCCTCTCTATGTGGATTCTTGGTATTGAACTCAGGTTGTTGGTTTGTACCAGCTGAGCTATCTCTCTAGCTCCACTCTGTTTTTATTTTTGTTTTTTTGAACGCGGTTCCATTATGTTGGCTAGGCTAGCCTGGAACTCCTGAGCTCAAGTCATCCTCTGTATGCAGTCTTCCAGCTTCCTGAGTGGCCAGGGCCATAGAGGCATGCTACTATTCTCTGTGGGTATTATTTGCCAACTATCTTATGGGAAAACAGCTTAGTTCTATGAAAATACCCACTAACTGTGCTGTGGTTTGTGACACCTAATGTGGAGTGTCCCCCTCCTCTGTTTTTGTCCTTTCCTGCTGGGGCTGCAGTTAGGCCTAACTTACCAGGAGGTTGAATAGAGCTGTGCTTATTTAAAGAAGTTTGTAAGCCCTGCTGTACTTGGCATGGCTGAGTATCTGCCTCTTCTTGGTGTGGCTTAAAGGACCATTGTTGTGATGCACTGTGTCATGTGTGGTTGTCAGCAGGAGGTAAGGATGATCACAGTGCTGAAGAGTCACGGGCAGGTCACCAAAACATCATGCCTGCCATGCTTATTTCCTGTGTTATAATTTAACTTCTTTTCTACCTTGTATAGTTTTTTTCCCACTGAGGGTTTTTTTTTTTTTTTTTTTTTTTTGTCTTTTTGAGACAGGGTCTCCTTTTAGCCCCAGCTGTCCTAGAACTCACTATGTAGACCAGGCTGGCCTCAAACTCACAAAGATCCGCCTGCCTCTGCCTCCCAAGTGCTGGGATTTAAGGCATGTGCCACCACGCCTGGCTTCCACTGAGTTTTTTTAAAAAGCACTCAATAGGCAGAAGCAGGGAGATATCTGTGAGTTCAGGGCTAGCCTGGTCTACATAGCAAGTTCCAGGCCAGCCAGGGCTACATAGAAAGACCCCCATCTCAACAAAACAAACCAACCAAACAAAGCAAGCCCGCTACCTCACCATGTGGCTCCAGTGACTCTTTGTTGAGTTGGGAGCTCTGGTGTTGATCCTATAGAGTGTGACCTTTCCCTGGGTGTGCTGTTCCAGCTGCTGCCCAGTGTTGTGCTACTCTGTGCTGCGTTTCCTTGTCATAATACTCAACTTACACATTTTCCCCATGGGGCAGCTCTCCTTCATACCCAAGATACGTCTTCCCCATGCAACATGCACCTTTTTTCCTGATTTGACTGATATATACTTTTTGAGATAGGGTCTCACTGTTGCCCTAGCTGTCCTGGAACTCACTATGGAGACCAGGCTGGCCTTGAACTCATAGAGATCCGCCTGCCTCTGCCTCCTGAGTGCTGGGATTAAAGGCGTACACCACCATGCCCGGCAAAAATGTGTAGCCCAGGCTGGCCTCAACTCCAGATCCTCCTGCCTCTGCCTCCTTCAGCATATCCTACTGGTGTGCATCACCAGCACCGGCTTCATTCTTGTTTTTAA